ATTAATAGGCTGGAGGACCTTGTTGATTTTATGGGGCGGTGGGTTACTTTTTAGGTTGATATAAATGAATGAGAGTTTTGATTATGAAATGGATGATGAATGCTTGCAGGTCTGACAATGCACTTAGAGCCATCGAGAAAGCAGGACGAATTGACCCTGTAAACATTGAAATCTCAGTTATACTTAACAATGTTAAGTTGGTTAGTCGAGCTCGTGCTCGTGGGAATGATCTCTTCAAATTGGAAAGGTATACTGAAGCCTGCTCAGCGTATGCTGAAGGGCTCGGGCATGATCCTCTGAATCCCATTCTCTACTGCAATAGGGCAGCTTGTTGGTTTAAGCTTGGGCAGTGGGAACAGTCAGTGGATGACTGCAATGTAGCTCTCCGTATTCAGCCCAATTACATTAAAGCTCTACTTCGAAGGGCTGCCTCAAACAGCAAGGTGCGATGCTACCTTATAATATTGAATATTTCGAAATTTTCCTCAAAGACCTTTGTAGTGTGTAGAGAATTTTTATTTGAAAATTCGATATTTAAATTCTAATATCGCATAGATTGTTATAGCTTGAACGATGGGCTGAAGCTGTGAGAGATTACGAGGTTTTGAGAAGGGAACTCCCAGATGACAATGAGGTCACCGAATCTTTGTTTCGCGCGCAAGTTGCATTGAAGAAATCTCAGGGAGAGGATGTTTATAACATGAAATTTGGTGGAGAAGTGGAGTCAGTTTCTGATCTTGAGCAGTTCCGAGCTGCAATTTCTTCACCTGGTAAGAGAAATGACGCCCATGACTTTTACACATCCATAGTCGTATTAGAGCAATCTGATGATCATAATTAATAATTCAGGTGTATCGGTGGTCCATTTTAAAGCATCGTCCAATCTACAATGCCAGCAGATTTCCCCATTCCTGGACACTTTGTGCTCTCAATATCCATCCATAAATTTTCTCAAGGTAAGTGGTCGAAGCCATTTTATTTGACCGTAATTTCTGTTTCAGTAAGAGTGCGTTTTCATGCTTACTCAGAACTTCTATTATTGATTCTCACACGTATGTGTATAAATAAATAAACCTGAAGTATATATTTTACTTAATTGAAGGTGGACGTCAATGAGAGCCCAGCAATAATTCACGCTGAGAATGTCAGAATTGTACCAACTTTCAAGATATACAAGAAGGGCAGCCAAATGAAGGAAGTGGTCTGCCCTAGTCCCGAGCTGGTTGAATCCTCTGTGAGACATTATAGCATTTAGATCAATTGTTGCGCTATGCCTTTGTACGCGTGCACGCCTCTCTGTTCCCAATGCCCAGCTTTTACTCAAAACCACCTTTCGTCTCATCATTTAGAGGATTACTAGTTACCTATGACATAATCAAAGCAAATTCTGCTACATAATAATCTCGATAGGAAGCCATATCAGCCTAATGCGAGCTGAGTTAAAAGACATAGCTTAGAGTTTCGTTTTGCTCTTTTTATTTATTCATTCATTTGTCGTATTCCATTTCCAATCCTTGTTTCTTCTTACCGTTTTCAGTAGGCCGGCCTCGTGCCACTATCATATCTTCATCCAAGAACGAGTAGCACTACTAGTATATATAATTATAAGTTGTCTCTATAGCTGAAATTTAGATATAGGGAGATGAATTACTGGGTGGCTTTTGCACTGAGGATCTGTACAATTGTATACACATTGGAGGAAGAAATGGATGTCTGGTGGGAACTTTACTGTGTTAGTGAAAAGAAACATAAATAAGATATCCATTGATATTTTATGCTTATTTGCTCAATTATTTTATCAATAAAATCTGTCTATTTTTTTCATTTTTCCGGGATCTTTGGAAAATCACCATTTTATCCTTTTTATTCGTCTATTACTATCAAATGAAATGTTAGTTATCTCTCTCGAGTCTTTGAAAAAAAGGGTAGTTTCGTGCTTGGAACAATTTTGTCGTTCAATTGCCTATCGAACACTCCGATATTAGAAATGTTATTGTCAAAGAGAGCATGTTGTAGGGGGCTTTCTACAGTTCATTCAAGTTGGCTAACTTCCAAATAGTCCCCACATATATAGGCCATAATCAAAGGCAAAATTGTCCAAAAGAACATGGAATGGCCATGCCCATTCATTTGAAGCTGGCTCTGTGTACATTTGCAATGAATTCTCCTGTTCATTGCTCTTGTAACCCTTCAATTTTACTTTTGTTACTTAAGAAATAGTAGATACCAAATTTAATACCCACGTTGTCTAAGAACCTTAAGGACATGTTCAGTACATTAATGAGAGACACCACAAATGCATAAATATATTTGAGTTAAGTCATTTGTACCATCTCCGTTATTATTTGCTTTATACATGAATGATGTGGCAGATGGATGATGGTTGGATTAAATGAGTGAAATATGAAAAGTGGTGTAAATTTAGTAAATTAGGGTTTAAAGAAATGTGTACATGTAGTCAGATTGTAAATATTTTATAGGATACCTAAAAGAATAAATTTAGATATACATTATTGTTGATATTAAGGATGAGATTCT